CTTAGTCACTAGCACTGTAAATAGGGTTTTGTGATCTAAACTGTCAATGTGTTGGGTGATTTCAGAAAATTACATCAAACTAGGAGTCCAATTATAAAATATTAAATGTTTAACAACAATTAATTCATTCATTTATTAAATAGTTAATTAAAAGCCCCCCTATACATATCTGAAAGCACTTAATACAGTAATAATCTACAGCCTTTTGATATGTGGTGAGACAAGTGAGTCAAGACCCTCTGCGGCAATATATTTCTGTAGATGTTATTAGCATGTAAATAATGCTAACCAGTTGTAAAGAGTGATACATTGGGGAAAAAAAGGGATGGGTGTGGCAACACGAGTTGATTCATTAGTTTAGAGCTGCTTTTAACAAACGTGGATAAATTCTTTGTTCCTGGAAATAATGAGAAAATCTGAGAAACATTTAACTTTTAAATTCAGAGAGCTTGCAGTCTTGGAAAAATCATCTAAGTTTCACCCTGAGTTTCTGCTATCCATATATGCAAGGTATGGATGAGCGCTGAACACCGACCCACATTATAGCTCCTCAGCCAGTCAGTAGCATATCTGCCTACTTTTGAGCTCTGTTGCTCAGCCCCTGCACTTCGAACAGGGAGCAGTCCTCTCCCAAAGTAGATAATTGCACTAATGAAAAGTCACTTTAATTGATGAAGCAGTTGTTGCACAACTCCTTAGATTACAAGTAAGGTAACGGTGTTGCAAATAAAGGAAAAATAAATAGTTAGATTGCTTTGTTATTAAATTATTATGTAACGCCATTATGCCTAACTCTAGTCCCCAAAATGGCTGTGGCAAAGAACAAAATGGACTCTCTTCAGATTTTTTATTTTTTTTTTGCGCCACAAAGTCAGTTTATAAAAGTACGTTTTAATTAGTAAGAAATTTGGAAACTATGCAACATTTTCCTCTGTCGGTCGGTAGGTAGATTTCTCTCAGATCAAATGGTGAGTGTTAAAGTGGCTGGGACAGCGTGGTTTCCCTCAGCCCTTTAAGCCCGGCCTTGCATCTACCGCAGAGAATTTCCGTCTGAACTGAAGCAATCACAGGCAGCACACATTCAAACCATCTTAGCCAGCAACTAAATGAAGGAGCCTTTGATACAGGCCCCAGCAGATGCATATTTTCTTTTTACGAGCAAAGAAGTAGTAAACAGCTTGCCTTGTTGGCTCTGCTGCAGGATTCCAAAAGAAGGGTTGTTTATATATACATACACAATATGTGAATGAAAGTAAGGATCTGAAGGAAAGATATTTTTTGGGGGTTTTTTTTATGTCTAAATCTGGGAAAGACAGAAATCTCCATGACCGACTGACACCACTGGGAAGATGCTTGAGTTGTTTGCCAGTTTCTGATTTCATAAATAGGTTTGTTGTGCTATGCCTCGCTGCTGCAGACGCAGCAGTAACAGCAGCAACAGCAGCAACAGCAGCGGTGGCGGTAAACTCCAATTGAAGCCATGTGTGGTGGAAAAACAGGCCCTGGTTTGTGGAGGGATTGCATGCTTGAAGTGGGAGGGAGCCTGCTGGTTACAGAGGTCACAAGCCGAACACGCCAACTCCTTTTGGGCCTTCTCACACGCCATGCTGACGGATGCATCTCAATGGTTTCTCCAAAACCTCCTCCACTCCTTCTGATCCTTAATCTTATATAAACTCTAAAAGGTGACTTGTCCTATGTTTTTATATTAACAGCTGCTCTAGACGTGCTTTTGATAAAAAAAAATATCAGAAAACAGAAGGACTTTGCTGCAAATTTAGAAAGTGACTGGATTAGTTAAGGACAGCATGAGACACTTTATTATCTCTGGCTCCACAAACAGCAGCATTGACACATAGTGTACCCAGGCATTCCCATGTTGTTGTGTCTGGGTTTATTTTCACCACAGCTACGTCACCTGATCTCACACATTCATCGCATCCTCAGAGTTTTAACCTCCTTAGAGCATTACTTTCTCCTTTCTCTTCTTGGGTTCCTCTCAGGTTTTCGATAACAGTCTTCCCCTTAGAGTCCAAATGTTATCAGTGTGGCCGCAGCTATTAGCTAATAGCTGCAAAAGCTAAAGCTATCAGATTTAGAGATAGGTAGCGTCGGGCTATAATGCAGCTGTGCCATTTCCCCTCATGCATTATAATCGATCATGTTCCTGTCGGCCGGCAGGGCTGGATCATTTTTTCATGAAGATTCCTCCTTTAAATGGTGACTCATTGGTTCTTTTCAGATCACATTCATGTGATCTCTGGGTTCCTTTTTGGCAGAAAGTTCCAAATCCTTTCTTGTACTTATGTCTTATTCTGTCTTTTCTAAGAAAAGGTTGGTAAAGATGTTTCTTTTTCTTTTTTAATGAAATTACATCTCCGTCAAATTGCATTAACTATGTAAAGTGGATTATTGTTAATGGGACATGTGAAAAAGTGCCTGCATTATGCTCACTCAATCATCAGTCACATGGGAGGGCTGGATTATCAGGACTGAGTGATCTAATGAGCTAAATAATGAAGCCGAGCCCCGGCCAACATGGGTAATGACTTTTTAATGCTCCTGGGTTCTTTAGTTACCTAAAGAGGTGCGATCGGTTCTGATAAAGCTTTTGTTGCTTGGTCAGTTCTGACCCACGTGTAGGAAATGCTTGTCCACAATGCTGTCTCTGTCTGAGACAGGGTTCTGCAACCTGCAGCTCCAAAGCCACATTTCGGGCCTCCCACACTGTTTAAAATCATTCAAAAACAGAATATTTTCATGCACAGAGATTCATAGTATGTGTATTTCCTCAGCAAAATTAAAAATGATTTTTATCTACACTGGAAAAACAATCTACAAATAAGTGAAAATTCCTTAAATTAAATGTATTTACCCTTAATTTGAGTAGGTAAATGAGATAGCTTGCCAATGGAAAAGTATTTTTACTCTTAAAATAAGATACTTAGATAACATACACATGAAATAGGACAATGCAATTGTGTTTTCTTATTTTAAATGGCAACTGTCTTGTTCCATTGGCAAAATGTCTCTTCCTCAATCCAAAAACCTCCTCAATCCAAAAACAAATGCACTTATTTTGAGAAAAAATTACTTATCTAGATTTAGATTTTTTTCCAGTGTATTCTGTTATTGTCATTTTTCTTCAGGTTAAAAGGATAAAAAGGATTTATTCAGCCATTTTAAACTAAGCATCTGTTCCCTGTATAATGTTTTTATTGTTCTAAAACACCAGAACACATGAGAATTATTATAATTTATTTTGAATTTTAGGTTTGGATGAAAACAAAGCACCACATAAGCTTTGAGTATTTCCTGATCTTTGAAAATACAAGGAGTGTGGTTTTTAACCTACTGTACTTTGCTCAAGGGGTCTTTCGTGTGTGTATCATAAGGCTAGAAACTATTATGCACTAACAGAGAAATTAAACTTTTTTAATAATATCAGTGTGCTAACATGGTAATTACAAAGCATGGTGCTATTTTTGATAATAAATGACTTTCTGGGGAAACCACATTAAAATCTGAACCCATATTAAGTAATTCTATCTATGGCAGGTGACAGTTTGTGTAGTTTCTTACCTTGTTTCACAACAGAGAATGAAAAAAGACAACCTGTCACAGCTGATCTGTCACTCAGTGAACTTGGCCTGACTATTAATTCTGTAAAGTAAAATAACTAACAGATGCAGCCCCCTACCCCACGAGAGAAGGTGTCATGTCTGATTCAAATGTTTTGTGGAAATTTGCTTAATTAACTTGAAACCATCAGCAAGGGAAGTTGAGGGAACCGCTTTAATTGCTACTTACCCCTAAAGTAACTTTACACCAGCAGCAGCAAAGGAAGTAAAAGATGTAGCCCTTTCAGAATTAAGGAAATGAATGAAAATATATGAAAGCTAATCTCAACTTATTGTTCCTTTTATGAGCAAACATGCACTGAACTTGCGACAAATATGTTTTTCTACCAGATGATGTCAGTTTTTAGTGGTAAATACCAATGTGGCAGAGGACAATTTTTTAATATGATTGATTTATAGCCACCATGATTAAAGTTCCTTGTGCAGTGAGTCATTTGATGCAATGTCTTATAGAGTTAAACATCATTAATCATTGAAGATAATATAGCCTTAATCTTGTAAAAACATTAGTTTTGCACCTTCTTACAAATAAACTACAAAAAGAGTGTTTTTGACACACCAACAAAAGATTTTGATTAGATTTTTATTGGTGAACTGTAAAGTGCATTGAGATGACATGTGTTGTGAATTGGCGCTATATAAATAAACTGAATTGAAATAACTTCTTTGTTTTTTCATTTTTTAATGGGTAAAAGTTGAAATATGAGGAGCATCTTAAGCTTATATAAAAGCCTACAATTGAAAACACTCAGCGTAGATATAAATATTTCAGTTTAACAGCATGATGACAACCAGCTTAAATTCTAAAACTGTGACATTTGCAGAAGGTTGTTTTTCTGCATTCTAACAGGGGCTCCTTTCTGTGGATAATGACAGAACAAAACCTTGTTTAACCTTGTTTGTCTTTGTTTCAGTTGTTTTAAACAGTTGATAATTGCCCTGCCTGTGGATATTCGGGAGGTTTAGATCAGCAGATGTTTTCCATCTTATAAAGATCGTCACACATGTGGGCTGTGAGTGATTAAGAAGTCATTTGAACATATTCAAGAGACCATGTCCTAAATTTTCATGTCATTTTGAAAACAACTATACGCACAAAGTATTTTAATTACATTTATTAAGGCATATATAACCAATTATGCCTTAAGAAAAGTTATTAACCAATTATTTATTAGTGTGAGTTTTTTTTTTCTGAACTGAAATATTGACCTCAATTAGATGTTATAGACGGTTTTTAGATGAAAGATTTTCAATCTGACTGAAATAACTATAGAAAGAAGCTGCTGGATAAAACAAATATTTTCCTTCTGGATTCGGGTTGTGTTTTGCATATTTACAAAACTTCTAACGCCCATCGTTAAAATAACTGATTTTATTTCTTATAAGTTCTGACACTGAAATATAGATTAGATAAGAAGATTCTGAGCTGTTAATTGTTCAGCCTAGATACACGTAACATACAACAACTTTTACATGAATTTAGAAAATGCATGAGCTGAGTTTTATGGCTAAACAGTCATACCACAGATAAAAGCCCTTTTAAAGATACTCTTATTTCACCATCTCCATTATAACATGTTGTGCTCTGTTTTAAAGTGACAAATTGCACAATTTTGACAAACACTGGATGACATCACAGTGCCGCTAGATTTGGATATGAATTTTAAACTTGAGGTCACCATCATACATCTTACACTGCATTTGCAGTGTTTACATTATCAACTGCAGAGTGTACAATAGTTACAAGAGAAGTGGCTTTTTAGCAAACATTTTTTTTCATCTTTCAATAAGAGAAAGGAAATGCAGCTAGAGACACTATGAGTAGCATTAAAAAGTTAAACACATGAGAATGTTTAGATCGTAGAGAGTGTTTTTTGCATTTTTTTGGTGCTAGGCCACATTAAGCTCCTTTTGATTGACTCTAAATTACCCATCAACCTGCCACCAGTCTGCTTAAAGCCTGCCACCAGCCTGTGAGCCATTACCCATGTGCTTAAAGCCTTCTACAAGTCTTCCGCCCAACATTCCTGCTCATATCACAGACTTTCAATAAACCTTCTAAACCTAAACTGTGTTAGGCTGAATATTGGATTTTCAAAAGGTTTCTTCATGACAGATTTTGTCACCGATAGCAAACTATTCCCCTTAGTGAAAGCTCGTCCACTACACACCTGCATGCTTTTACATTGATACATGTTCATTAAGAGATGTCAGGGTTTGGTGGAGGTTGGTTAAGAACCCAAATGTAGAGATGAGGGAGGCAGAGATGAGTTCTTGCAAGTTTAATGAAATCAAAAGGTGAAGAGAAACAAAATCCAAGAATCAAAATACAACAAACCAAAAAACCAGGAGACATCAGGTGAAAATGCACATGGAGAGCTAAGTAACGACAAGAAACAAGCAAAGAGGAACTGCAGAGGCGGTGTATATATGGGGGAAAGAACAAAGAATTGACTAATGAGCTGATATGGAGCAGGTGTGGATAAAAGTAACTTTAAAATTAGACAACAAAGGGGCCACACAGACTAAATTGTAACACAGCTTTAATATAAAACAAAATGGAAAATAAACCAAAGATCAACAAGACAGAATTATATAGATAACTAAAAACTCAAAACTCAAAGTCCAGAAGGGGAAAATCTTAGTAATAGATCCATTTTCTCTCTTTTTCTGTCATACTTGTAATGCAACATCTCACATAAAAGGCATTAATACTATTTTGCTCTAAAGAACATTTTGTGTTCCGTCAGCACATAATGAACTTTGCTAAAAAAGTCTTCTCCTTCCACTTGTTTCAAACATGCTTCAAGTGGGACCTGAGGCTCTCTAATTTTGTCACACTTGGCGAGTTAAAATTTTTGATAAAAGGAAACGTAAACTTGTTTGGAGGCAATTGTACTTGTTTTCAGTAAAACACCTTCTGGTGTTGCATGGCATTCATCTTCAGAAGTACGTTTTGGATTCTATAAATATTATTTTTAATTTAGTTTTATCACTGTTGGTTTTTTAGGTTTATTGCCTCTCTTGTAAATGAGACCATGAGTCTTAAGAGATGTTCTTGTATAACTGAATTTAGATTGCTTAAATTATCCCCTTTACTTTCCGAATATGCACTATGTTACACTTACTTCATGGCAAATGTGACCAATAATTCATTTTAATCTCACACTGACCTCACCAATTACTCATTTCCAATTTTGACTTTCACACCCACCAAACAAACAATGACTCACCGCGGTGTTAGAGGGCAGTGGCCTCTCCCTTTATTCAGACAACCTCAGCATATTCTCTCTTTTTTTCTTTCTTAGAGAAAAAATGTCAGAAGTCATGCATGTAAATGAAGCATGCACACGCAGGCAATCCCTCACTCTGCCTTTGCTGTTCACTGATGCACAACATTATGTTCCAAATCTCACAATCTACACACACACACACACATTTTTATTCATGATTCTTGTGCAGGGAGTGGCTGACACTGCTTGACAGCACAGGCATATTTCTCTGTCTGGGAGACGTCTGCATGCCTTTTCTAATGTTGTACAACATGTACTAAGGCTCTCTGTATTGACACAGTCATTTTGTGCAGAAAAACAAGAAAAGTTAAACTTTTTTTATTGAATGTTTCATTTGTAAAGACTGCGATTCTCATAGTTTCTTTGTATTTGAAAAAAAAGTCTATGGATGGAATTAATATGTTCTGGTAAGTATGGATAATATCTAGATTTGTTTTGATATAGAGGAAAATCTTGCATTAAATTGAAAAGATTTCCAGACTTTTCCTGACAGAAATGTCCCCATCCACCAGCCTGCATGGTTTAAAGTCTGAAGTGATAGAGAAGAGATCCTGAGTAAAAATAAAGCGAGAAGAAACTGCTGATACCTGGCCCAAATCTCCTCATCCCTCCTCCCCATCACCACTCAACAATCCTATTTTTAATTCTGCCCCAACTTGGTGGTCCGAGAATTTCCCCTGCAGAGCCGCAAAAAAGGAAGACGGCAAGGAAAACAACAACAGACAGGATAGATGTGCAAAATTATATTACAAATATGCGAGAAGGAAGTTGTAAAAAGAGCAGAATTGATTTTATAGTCCTACATTTACCCTCTTGAACTCATCAACTAATATAAAACCTTAAACCAAGGAAAACTGCTTTGACTCTTTTTTCCCACCTTAAAAATAAACCGATAGTGCACTGCTACCTGTTTCTGGGTTGCTCTTTAATAACTGAGCAGCTGGCTTTGCATGTTTTGGCTGGACTAAACATCTGCTGCCTCCCGCTGATCTCTGCAACAAAAACCCATAGAGTTTTTTATCTTATCTCACAAATGCAATTTTTCTGTTACACATATTATGTTGCATCATCGTCCACTGCAGAGCATGGATGAGGGCTCTTAAGTGCATCATACACTATCATCAAGACAAGACTAGACTAGAAGGTTTTGTTTCAAAGAGAGAAATAATGGAACTAAAATCTCCTCTTTTTGTTTTTTTTTTTTCTTGGTCACAGGTGCTCCACAGCTGCTGCATAAGAGAAACATCCAGAGTCCAAAAACCGTGCAAGAGAGCAGAGGGCGGTAAAGGGCAGAGAGGTGGAGACCAGGCCTCTGGTCTAGCTGCTTAGGGGAGGGTTCCTGGCACCGTGATTTGATGCACAAAGAGAAACAAAAATCACATTGCCAGGGATTTCCACTCCTTGACAGCTCAGTGGGAACCCTGACCCAACCTCACATTTCACTCTTGGCTGCATGTGTTCTCAGGCCGGACTCTAGAGTGCTAAAGAAATTAAACAGGAATTTTATCAACCATCTCAGCAGACCTCTAAAAGGTTGATCGCTTCTGTGTGTATTTAAGGCTCCAGCTGTTTGAAATTTAAACTAGTCTCCCCACTCTCCGCTCTAATGTCCCAGGAAATGGGTGTAAATGCAAACCAGAGCCCCACAAGACAAGGTGGGATTTTAGATTTACAGCATAAGCAAGGAATTTCTCAAGATATATGAAATAAGTGAAGATCCTCCACAGCACTATGCCCTCTGAAAAACGTTGCTTGAACTGCTGGCTCCGAGACCACTGACTTCACTGCCGACTTCTCACGTAAAGGTCTGCATAAATCTCAGCCAGCCACCCACTTGCTGAGGGCACAGAGCTTAGCTAATTGGTGAGCATTGATCCCTGCAATGTGTTGTTCACAGTGGCTAAGTTCAGTGCCCGAGGTGAAATAGTTGATACGACGTTGAGGATTTGTTCCAGTGGATGGACAGAACTTGATGATCTCGGAAAAGGTGAAAGATGAAGGAATTAAGGAGGAAAGTAGGAAGGAGAGTATTGTAGGGGATGAGGTTCAAATACAATCATGTCACCATTATGACCTAAAGCAGTGGTTCCCAACCTTTTTGGACTTCTGTACCCCCTTGGCCATTTTAATCATACCATCAGTTCCCCCTGCGTCAAATGTGTTGATTATTTTCAAAAAATAGAAAGTACAACTGATTATAAGATAAAAACAATTAAATTAAATTCTCAGACATTTAATTCTTTTCATTTAGAATAAAAAAATAACATAAATATGCTGCCTAGAAAGTGATAAATAAAATTATATTTTTATTCACTGTCATTTTTACTTTGTTTTCATCATTCACTGTGTTAATTGGATTTGCTTGAATTTTCTTTTCTTGTGGATGAGAAGACTGTGATATAGGCCGTCACATTGAAAACTAATCTGACCCATACAGTAATAATATTTTAAAGCACTTTTACATTGCTCTGACTTTTATGATTAGGAATTTTTTCAGTAAAAAAATAAGTAAATTTTAATAAAAAAAAATACAGTAACTACCACGTTTATTATAAACTCTAATAAAGATGTATTTTAATTCTTGAAATATATAAATCTCACACCATAAGCGTGAGACTGATTTTTTTTTTGTTAACATTACATAAAATTATGGATGTATGGATGTACAGCTGCAATTAATAGACTTCAATGTAATTTGGTGAAATGAAACACTGTTATTTATAATGAAATATTAAAATAAAGAAAACTGAAGCACTTTTTACTAGTTAAACTTCACTTTTTTTAAGTATTAGTCTAAAACTTTTTTGCTACCTGATGTATACATATAATCAGGCAAGGAGGCACATGTATCTCAACTACTGTCATACTGTCAATTGGGCAAGAAAAACCTGCCCATATCTCTAAAAGTCTTTTTGAGACTGTCACAGTTTTTGTACTTTGGTATTGAGCTTATTTTCTATTTGTCAGGAAAAATCCATTTTGAAAAGAGTTTTTCTAAAAATGTAACTTAACTCTTTAAGTGTTTCATAGCACTTTACATGCAGTCCCATTTTTCTATTGGTATTATTTCATTTTTTTGAGCTTGGGCTTCATTTTTGTTTTGATGATCTCAAATACTGTTTTATCCCAATTTGAGTTGCGTTATGTGGAATCATCACACATTTTAGTCAGCAGTACGGTTATTGTTATCATGCTTTATACGTGTAGGCTTTACATATTTTTCCATGCACATTCTGTGCTTTAGATAAATGTCTGTAAGAAATATTTCAGCTTTTCTAAAGTTTTGTTGTAAAACAAGATGAAATTGGACAAAACAGATTGGGTACTTATAAATCTATCCTTTTGAGATTGCTGTCATTGGAGGCCCAGACTTAACTCCAGACACCAGCTGTAAAAAAATAACAGAATCATTATGAAAAGCATGACTTATATTTGTGGGTGCCACTTGCATGATGGGTTGAGCTTATATTTGTTTAATAAGTATGGATTTTTGTGAAACCTTTTTTTTTGTGTCTGAATCATGTTGCACATTATCTAAATACAGACCAGAAAGGAGCCAAAAACTCTAGTATTTAATTTCCATAGTCTTGCTAAGAGCGTTTCCTATTCTTGCGAAGCAACAGCTAACCAAAAGAACATTTAGACGAATTACAAGCTAAATTATTAACAAGTCTAATTTAAAAAAAATAGGTTAAACATGCTAGCTTTTGTATATCACTTTTCCGAACCTCTCCACAAAAATCCCAGCAATGTCAGTAAGACGCGACTTAGAACAGAGGACAAACTGTTAACGATAGACGTCTGGACAAATGTCTGTGTCCAGAAAAGCATATACTGCACCATCCAAAACATCACCAGAGGATAAGTTAGGTTGGATGTCATTCTTATGAAATGTATTGTGCTTTTGATGAATATTAAGATTATATGCAGCATTGCTTTCAGTGAAGCATAACATTTGGATACCTATTTAACCTAATAAAACTACGTTATAATGACAGGAATATCCCAAACATGATCCTTACTATTTCTTAACCTTTCAACTGTTTCCATGACTTCATTATTGTTTTTATTAAAATCATCTGATCTGTTGTAGAGGAATTATTGTACAATATTTTTTATGATAAACTTGGTTGTCTTTTATCTTTACATAAGGTCATTTTGATTTTTGCAGCATTTCATATATTGAAGTTTGACCTGTGAAGGAGAGGCAGGGCTGTGCCCTCCTGTGCCTACTGAACTGGTATCAGTGTTTTACCTGAAAACTGGCTCAGTTCAGCAGGAACAGGAGTGGAGCCCACTGACTTTGAGGACAAGCATGCAGCAAGAGAACCCACCCCAAGTTAAGAGTTTCTGCTGGTTTTAATGGGCCGCACCCTACGCAGAGCAGGAATGGAGCTTTGAGTCAGCCAGGAAAATCATAGTCAAGCACCTAAACTTGTAACTCAGCAGTTTTTTTTTTTACTATTTAAGCTCAACATTGATGATCCGTAAATAGTACTAATTTCTTTCAGGTCATCCCTTGGTTTCAAGCTATCATGTGAATGCTGCTTTAAACTAACAGAGCTGATGCTGTTCTGCCCACCTTCCATTTTTATTTCCCACTCTTTCCTCCATCTTTCCCTCCTAGAGGCCAGACTGAGACTGGAAGTCAATTTGAAATAATCCCAGTGAAATGTTTGCTATGCTTGGGTAGTTGATGTCAACCAGCAGTTCCCATTTGCACCAATGGGGACCATGTACAAAGCTGTCCCCACCCCCAACCCCGACGCTGTAGGCAAAAAAGGACTGGTGCTTCTTAGTACAGTTTATTCCCAGAGGAGAGTACAGGCTCATCATTATGCGTGATTAATGTGCTCTAATCCAGCCATACTCTTTGAGAACAGGAACTGTAAAAGTATGTTTCTGTTGTGCTAAATTTCACAAGATAAATGTCTAATTTAAAGCTGAGGCAGTTTATCTACAGAAATGGAAGAGGGTTGATGACTGCAGGGCTTTGTTCACACCAGGTGCTACAGAAGAGAAATTAGCGAGTGATTTTATGTATATGCTCAGTCTAAAAAAATGCCTCATAGGATGGTACATAAAATGCATTTTTTAAATGTCAGAACTTGTTCAAAGTGCTTATTAATGTCATGCATAATGTGGTTTTGAGTTTGTTTCCATTTTAAGACTAGTCCCCTAACAATTTAAAGTAATAACCTTTACATAAACTTTAGAGATAATATTGATTTTTTTTAATTCTGTAACCTAATTCTCTACTAACCTATAGTGAGTACAGACTTAGTACAAGGACAGGATGCTAAAACATGATAAGCTTTCTTTCTACTTGTAAAAGTAACTGTATGCTGATTAAATACAGTATATACCGTATGCTACTTTTTAAAAAACTTTAGATTTTTTTTCAAGTCTGAAGCTCTGAATTTTAGGTTTCACTGGATGTAAATATGGTTTGCTGGAGACTGAAACAAGTGTTCCTCAGCTATTTATGAGGGGGAAAAATCACATAAAAAAAATAAACAAATGCAACTTTTCAAAATGCTATATTGTCACAAACACTAAATAAATCTTGAAGTTAGTCAGGTCTTCTTAGTGGAACTTTTCATTGAATTGTTAGCTCTCAGATTGCACAGAAAATATGAAAGTGTCACGACTCAGAACAGGTATTCAGGCAAGACAGACAGTGGAATTATTCAAATAGTGTTCATTTAAAAACAGTTAAAGTTAAAAACTGGAGTGACCAGTTAAAAACTTGAGTAACCGGAGTAACAGCGGCTAGGCCATCTATCACATGGAAACTCTGGTTTACAAGTTCAGTCCGTGTCCTGAGTACAAGGTAGGGTCCAGCCGGTGGGCTGCCAACAACAATTGTTGAAACTCCGGAGACGGACAACAAGCAGGAGTCTGAAGACATGTCAGGCAAACAGATCAGAACAGGAACAGGCAGGCTCAGAGGTCCAAGAGTCCAAAGACAGGTCAGGCAAACAGATCAGAACAGGAATAGGCAGGCTCAGGGGTCCAAGAGTCCGAAGCCAGGTCAGGCAAACAGATCAGAACAGGAACAGGCAGGCTCAGGGGTCCAAGAGTCCGAAGACAGGTCAGGCAAACAGATTAGAACAGGAACAGGCAGGCTCAGAGGTCCAAGAGTCCGAAGACAGGTCAGGCAAACAGAACAGGAACAGGTAGGCTAAGAGGTCCAAGAGTCCAAAGCCAGGTCAGGCAAGGGAGAAGAGAGACAGGCAGGCTCAGTGGTTGAGAGGCACAACAGGTCAGGATCAGGAAATCAGAAACACTAAGGTACGCTAAAAATGCTCTCACCGCTGGCACAAGAGAACAAGAATAATCTGGCCCTGATGACTGGATGCAAGAAGCTTAAATAAGGGAAGGAGCAGTTAGACATTAGAGTTAGACAGGTGAATTAAATTAATAATTAAGCCAGTCATCAGTGCCAAGAACATGAGAGAAAACGAAATTCAATTTCTCTTTATATATGACATTTTTTTACTGGATTAACCACTTAAACTAATTGATAATTGTTTTACAATTATTCCTTTATTATCTTTAACATTATCAATAACTATAAT